GGAAGAGAGGTCAGGACAACCACTGATTTGTCCATCTGCCCACAAACAGCAGGCAAAGCCTTTGAATGGTTCTTTATTTCTAAATCCCTCATTTCCTGGTCAGGCATTTCCCCTGTGCAATTCCATGTGGGAGGAGAGGGCTGAAGGAGTTACCTAATGAAACCTGGATATTTCTGACAGCTCAAGCTCAGACAAGGACCCTGGCTTATCTCCTCTTTGAGGTCTTTGACCAGTCAGCATCACTGTGCACAGTGTCTTCCATCTAAGCAAGGAAAGCACGTAAGTGCAGGAAAAAAACAACAACTGAAAGGAGACTTGAATTTCACTGCTGGAAATATTTTAAGAGGCCAAATAGGATGGCGAAGAGAAATACCTTCTTTTTCATCTGTCATCATGCACAGTAAACAGAAGCTTTGATTTTCATGCCAGAGCTATTAAAAGGGCCACAACCAGTAACTCACTTTCTGATTGTTTTTCCCCTGTGCAGTAGAGAGGCTGAAATGCATCAATAGAAGCTTAGAAAAGTTTTACAAATTACAGCTGACTCACCAGGATCGGGGTCAGGGTTTGAGAGGCAGAAGGGAGAAAAGCTAAAACTAGCAAGGCAAAACACACAGATTAGACCACTGGAACATGAGGATGAAGGAGTGGGAGAAAAGCTGGCAACGCTGCGGTCTGTCCCCTGCAGAAATTCTCTGCTCAGAACACCAGGTAAATGAACTGCCACGGGTTAATGGCACAGTTGACGAGTATCTTAAATTAATGTGCATCTCAGCTCAGACCTGGGGCATTCAAGGGCATTTGGGTCAAGTGATGGAAAGGACAATGTGTCCTCTACTTTTAAGGCAGCTCAACCCACATGGCACACAAGAGGCTTCTGCTGCCTTCCTGACAGTACAGCATCGATGTCAAGCTGAGGGAAGAAAATTCAGGAAAAGGAAAATTCCATCGCATGAGCATGGCTGGATTTGCTGCACCGTGTTCAGGGCAAAAGGACATGCAGAGGTCCCAGCAGGAAGGATTCAGTCTTTTTGATGCCTCTGTGTATTTGGCCACCCAAACATTCTTCCTCGAGGACAAACCGATCACTGTGTCACCATCAAGCTGGGGACTCTCATCTGATCTTGCTGAGTGTGTGGATGATGAAACTACCCAAAGCATCAACAAAAGCAAAGGGATGGAGGCTTCACGCATGTATCAGCGCAGACAACTAAAGAGTAACCTCAGCATGGAGTTTTTTCATGAATAAATGGCTTTTTTCCCTCCAGTAACTTGACAGAAGCGAGGACGCTCAGCTGTTCCCTGCACTGGGAAACATGAGAAGGGATTTTAACAAGTCTTCAGTGCCATCCTGCTCCCACTGACAGCAGCAGGCACTCAAGGATCTTAGCTGAGCATCTTTACAAAGCCAATGATAAGCTCTTTTGGCAAAAATCCTGAAAATAAGGGTTCTAGTGTTTGCTTTCCTAATATTTTGAGTGGAGTGGAGATGCATTTGCTTAGTTATTGACTCTGAGGTTTTCCAAAAATCAAAGGGTGGCAACAAACTGAAGCTTCTGTGTAGTATAAGGGTGATGACAAGCCAAGCATGCTGTGTACTAAGAATAAACACGCAGACCACGAGCTCCAGGTACACACAGAACTACTACAAAGTATTGAAGGAAGAGGAACGAGAGGTCTGGCATCAGGATCTCAGACTTCAGGAAGCCTATTTTAAGTGCAGGTAGACACAGGCAGTTCACATTTTTCTCGCAGAGATGTTTTCAGTGAAAAATCAGCCTTTTTTCACCCCCTCTGTCTCTACACCACAAACCTATCAAGATCACTGCCGCTTTCTATTTTTCATGAAATTTCTGCGGCATTTTACTGACTTGTGGTGGCATCCGAAATACACAATCCTCTGCTGGTATCTGGGTCACCCACACTGAGAAGGGGAATCCCATTATTGTCTCTCCCTGTGTTTGAAATGAATGAATTTGTACAGTCAGCTCAGGTTTGGATTCAAAGGCTGATATTACCATGACAAGCCGCCACCACCCGCGTGCCAAAGCACTTACAAGCCTTTCATCCCAGCCAATGCTGAGGCAGGGCAACGACATCCCCCAGGATATTTGGGAGCCCAGGGCGCTGCCTCTTCATCATTGCTGTTGCTGCCTTTGAATATACAGATGGAGTAGTGAGAATATTTATCGTTTATTGGCTTTACCCAAAGGGATACGCTGCCTATCAGATCCTCTCTGCTTTGCAGGCTGAGAAACAAGCAAACACCACTAACAGGGAAAGCTGTGAAATCTATAGAAGTCAAAAAAAAAAGTCTTTCCCTTCCTCTGCCTCAGCTCTGGGTGAAGCCCACAGCAAGCAAACACCAGTTCTGTCTCAAACCCAAGAAATCTCAAAGTCTGGCTCTATGATCTGTGCTGCTCTTCAGCCATGAAGAAGCACCTACTGGGACACATTTCTGCCTCACAGCACAGTCAATACTGAAGGAATTAAACAGAGAATAAATTCAGGAGCACGTAAGAGCAGAGTTACAGAGCTGCTGTATGACCTGAAACCTCAGCACCAACTCTGGCCAAATGCCTCAGCATGACCTACTCCTATGACTCAGGGAAAAATTATGAACCTTCTTCTGCTACACATCAGTGCATTCACAAGTACATCAAGTGACCTACGAACTGCTGGGTGGAAAAGGGGAAAGTTGTAACCAATACTGAGATCTCAGAACCTTTGGTTCCTGTCTCCATGAACTGCAAGTGCATTTTAAATCTTCAGCTCTCAGTGAAGTTATGAAATCCTCAGTGCCCTTTCAACACTAAAGGTACTGGTGCCTGTGCACACATAAAAAAATTCATCTAAATTAAATGATTATGCTGAGCTAGTTTAGGAACATTAAATAGTCTTTGCTTTAAAGTGGCTGCAACTCAGTTTCTCTCCATGAGTTGTTATAACAAAATAAGGATGTTAATTCTTAAAAAATATACAGTAAAATGGTTATCTTGCAATAGGGTTGAAAGCAAATTCTCAGATCATAGTCAATGTCTCTTGGTTGCTATCAAAAATAACCTGTGTTTTCTGTATTATGGAGGCCCATTTCAATAAGCTGCAACTGAGTCTCTGGCAGGGAGAGAAACTGGAGGGTGAAGGCAGAATTTCTTGAATCCTCCAGTCTTAACACCATTTCCTCATCTAACTATACCTTTGGAGCAGTGTCATGCAATCAGCTGCAATTTGGGTAATCTCCTTCCAAATCCACATCTCCCACCTCCACAGCAAACCCCTCCTGAGGGTCTCTCTGCAGATGGGTTTGTTTGTGCTCAGCCCCACAGCCACTGCCACAATGGGGACCAGGCTGCAGGAATCCTGTCCCTGGGACACACATCCTGGGAAGATGCTGTGGGATGCACGGATGCAGCAAGGACCACCATTGCCCAAGGCTACACTGGGAGAATGAGCTCAGATTGGGAACTGGATTTTGGTTTCTGGACACAGCCAGAAACAGTTTAGTTCAGATACCAGTTCCTGGTATTTGCACATATACAGACCCCTGGTACAGAGACAGAAAAGCAAGAATTCACAAATTTCATGGAAATACAGTGATTTTCTCCACTTCAAAACGTGGCAATTGCCCATTTGGGGAGCACTGCACACGTCCATTTGCAGGCTGAGACCCAGAGTGGTATGGCCTGTACAGTGCTGAGAAAGCTCTTACATTTTAAAACTTATTAAGCTTATGGATTTGATGGTTACAGAACTGCAGGAAAGAGATGGCAGCTCTACAAGATAATAAACACCTTTCTTTCCCCCCTCCCCATTTTAAAACATCTTCATGCATTCATGTCAAAACACCCAGAGATATTTTTGGTCTTAAGAAGGGCTGTGGAACAAAGTTGCTCTCCTCCCCTAGCAGGAAAAGGTTTGCCTACTTTTTTCCCTCATTATTCTGGGTCTCTATTATACAGTGCAATATTCTATTATAGAAAAATAGTGAGGCCTTGGTTTTATCCCCCTTGTCCTGAAGTACCACCCAGCAGTCCTGATCAGCAAGTGATGAGTGCCCTTCAGGAGCAGGTAGTAAATGTAAATTTAGCAAAGAGCACTTATCAAATATAGCTACAGGGTCCACGCTCTCAGGATTATCTGATTTTCCCTTGCTGCAGAAAAATCCCCACGAAAAGGAAATCCTAAATTTATTTTGCAGCTGCATGAGGGGTAGATGCACACGGCTGGCAGGGCACAGGCTGCCACCACAACACAGGTGTGGTTCACTTGGCTGTCAGGATGTGCAATCCCAGAAATGCTGCTACATCAGGGCAGATTTGTCTACCAGAATCCTGAGCCTCTGGAGGGGGATCCCAGAGCCATGCTGACTCCCTGTCCAGTGCTGCTCTACCCTCTAAGCCAAGTTTTCTTCCCAGTTGTCCAGCCTGAACCTCCCAAACCACAGCCTGGGGCTGTTTCCCCTCATTTTACCACCCAGCAAGTTCAGCTCCATCCCCATGTGTTACCCCCTCCAGGCAGCAGCAGGTGGCAATGAGATCCCTCCCTGAGCTCCCTGCCTGGCTGAACAAGCAATTAAATTTTTTTCCTTTGGTGTACTTTTCCCTCTCTCCCTTGCTCCAAAACCGCCTTTGCCTAAAGCGCTGCTCTTAAATTAATTATCGAGGAGCTTTATGCTGCAGAGGAGCATTGTTTTGGGCCTCCATGGGGACTTGTGGCTTTTTCTTCTGCAGCCTGGGAGCGTGAGGGCTTGGCCCCTGCCAGACCCATGACTCACACTCTTCTGGGACATTCACACAATTTTTATATATATATATATATGTATAATTCTTTTTTCCCTTGCAGCTCTACTGTTAAATGTTTGGCTTTGCACTCGCACGCTCCCCAGCCGTGCCTGCCTCCCGGGACAGCCACTGTGCAATGCCAACACACCACTGGCATTGCTTCATTAAGTTTACAAGCAATTAAAAGGCAGGCTGAGGAACTCCCAAGGGACTCTGTACCTTCATAGGAGCCAGCTGGATGGGAGTGATGCATGATGGATCCACCATAGGCTTCGGCCGGTTGGCCGTGTCCGCCAGCAAACTGTGCCACTGCTGAGGTAGTCCCGTGAACTTCTGCTCCCGGTGGTCAAAGCCAGTGTGGACCCGGTGCTCGAAGTTAGAGGGCCCAGAAATTTCAAGTCTTTTCTTCTTTTTCCCGAACATGGTGAAAAAATCTGGAGAAGTCATAAGGAAACAGGAAAGAAAAGAAAATTAAAAAAAATATTTGCCACATCTTTATGCTTTGTTGCAACCCAAAGGCGTTCTCTCTACTTCCTAGGGAATTTTAGTAGATGGCCTCAGCCAAATACCTGCATGAACTTCACTCCACACACTGAGATCTATGTGAGGGAAGGGCTTATCTGACCTCCTCGCTGGGAGATTTTAAGAAATAAACCCACAACGTCCTTATTTCTTACCTCTAAATGTTCATAATACCTTCTGAAACACGAAAATGCCTCTATTGCCAGAAAAGAAAGCCCCAGGTCCTATTTTCTGCTTCCCTCTCCGTTGCAAGTTACATCCCATGGAAGCTCCCAGCCTGGAGCAACGCCAGCAGCAGCGGATGGCTTTGGTCAGAGGACAGCACTCGGTGTAAGTGGTGAGCTGTGCCCTGACACACCACAGAGCAAATGCACACACAGCTCTGCATCTCAAATCTACCCACCAGACAACCCATCCCAGATGAGAGTCCAGTCCTGCTGTGGTCAGACGTGGATCTCACACACCAGCAGTCAAAGGCAGATTTACTGCTGTGCCAATTCAGCCATGCAAACTGACAGAGAGCTCAGATCTAATTCTAACCTGGTCCAAGGGACTTCACCTGCATTCAGAAAGGGTCCTGCTTAAAAACAGTATCAGGTATCAGCTACTACAAACATCACAGTACATGACTTCTCCTTCAGGGGAGAAATGATTGCTGTGAGACCCACATGCCCACAGTACCTTGGTTTATGCCCACTTGGGTGGGATTCACTACAGTGATGGCCCTGCTCCTTTCAAGATCCAGAAAGAAGGATCAGCTCCTTTGGCCTTTGTGCAGGTGCTGTGGAGAAGACAGAGGAGTCCCTCCAATGTTGTACAAGCAAGGAACTGGAGGCTGATGGAGGAAATGTGACCTTCCCAACTTCTGCATTGCTGGAGAGGCCTGGGTTGGCCTGGCTGCCTGGTAAAGCTAATTGTTACAGCACTTGCTCTACAGAAAACGAGTGTTTTAGTCAATTTTTAGTTGTTATTTCTTGATAAGAGCAGGTTGGTTTGCCTTCCTCTTGCTGCTTTGTCCCTCCTGAGGAGCCTGGGGAAGGCAGCAGGAGGGTTTGCAGGGCACCCAGGGATCACAGGCTAACAGGCCAGCTGGGGCAGGAGAATTTTCAAAGACAAAGTGGAAGAAGGCATGAACTGTAAACTGAAAGGGATGAAGGTATTTACTCCTTCTACTGTCACAGGAAATAGCCAGTACACCCAAAACCTGCATTAACCCTTGGGGTTGGTGGGTCCCACCTTACAACAAAGTAGAGGACACTAATGGTTATATCGAAGCAAGTTCAGAATTGACTTTCTGAAGGACTCCAGAAATCCGCTGCATAAGGTAAGGACAAATTCCTGGTCCCAGGGAAACTGCCAGTGGTCCTGTCACTTTTCAGTGAAATACTGTCTTGTTCTGGCAAAGTCCTCTGCCTGCCTTCTGCTGCCTCAAAATAGTCCTCCACTTTGATCTCTGGGCCATTTCAAGCAGGGCTTGCTGAGCTCTTGAGCAGCATCTGTCTGAAACAGCAGCAGAGCAAGGAGGCTGGCAGCTCTATAAAACCTCCTGTGCCACAGGAGAGACTCAACTGTAAAGGTGCTGCCCTGACTTTATGATTCAGGAGGCGGAGAGGAGAAGCTCCGAGAAGAAAATACAGTTGTATTGCCGCTGCAGCAAAAAAAAAGATGGGATGATAAATCAGGTATTTATTACACCCTCATTTCCTTTTATTAGTTTACTTAAAGATCAAGCCCATTATTTGAAAATTGATTGCTGGCTGCTTTGTAAGTCCCCCCTGTGCATTTGCAGGTGATTGTCTCCCCCGTGCATACTTTCTTTGGCTCTTTTTCCACCATCATAATCTTTTTATTTGTCTTGTTGGTGCATGTTGGGTACCTTTTGGCACTCACAGACAGGTTTCCAGCCTAACCCAAAGCCATCCTGGTTGGCCTCTGCTCAAAGATTATTTATTTTCCAGGCTCAAAGAGAAGCAGCCAGGTAGCAGCTCGTGTTCAGCGCTCGTCCGCAGGGCTCCACAAATCGCAGCCGGCGGCAAATCAATGGCACTGGATTGATTTCATTCACCCTCTGGGATGGGAATTTGTGAGATTGGAGTCTATTGGAGTAACATTTTAAACCATCAGCTCTAGACATGTACTTTTTTGCCCGATCAATGCCGGCACTTGCAGGATTTCCTGCTGGACATGCATCCGAACGCAGCTGTTGGATGCTCCAGGTCCTCCGGAGCTCCAAACAACATCACGTAACTAAAAGCACATCAGCTGGCATAGTGCATATTGCTTTTAAAAATAAACAGCAGATTCATTCAACAAGATATTCCCCTTTTGGTTTTAGATTGGTCTTTGCCATGTTGCTCTCTCCTGTTTCAATGCTGTTGCAGGTAGAAGCAAATGTGAAATTTGGCCCAGTGGGACCTTTACTTTGTCAGGACAGTATTTTAGTGTAAAACCGGATGCCAAGGCCACACTTTTGCACAGGGATGGTGTCTGAGGTCTGGGCAGTGGGACTTGCCCCCCCTTTTGACTGCAGCTCATGTTTAGATGAGCTTAAATCAAGCATGAAGCTCCAGCAGGACAGACAGGGATCCTGGCACCTCGCACAGCCAGGGATGGGTTCAGCCATGCGGGCAAACACAGCAATGCTGTGGATATCAGTGGCCAGAGAACACCTCCCATGGGGCTGTATCTGTGAAAGGTGACCAGGAACCCTGGTTAACAGCAGCCTGCCTCCCCAGCAGCTCTGCAAATGGCTGCTCGGTGCTCCTGAAAGGAGCAGAGCCTCCACCAGCTCTTAAGGGTTTCAATAATAAATGCTGCGCACTGTCGCTTCACTTCATCAGCCAGAGCAAGGTCTCTCCACTCCACTACAAAGCCAAGCCAACCTCTCCTTAGCACAGTCCCTCTAAATAACTGTAACACACACAGCAATCACAAGGAAACTTCAGTTCCTCTGATTTCTCCCAAAGAATGGAAACGATGCTACTTGTTTTCCTGAGCTGTCTGAGGATGGGGGTTTGGGGCAGCCAAGTCTGCGAAACCTTTAGCTCTGGGCTTTTAAGTGTCCCAATTCAGTCTCCACTGATATGCCTGGTCTCAAAAAAGGAGAGATGATTTAATTTTTGCTATGGCTAAAATTAATTTTGTGACATTTTGATACAACACAAAAAAAAAAAAAGGCATTTACTCATTTAATTAGGTGTGGAAGCAGAAAACATCCTGGATGAGTGAACGAATGTTTTCCAAGAATTGTAAAACTCTTTCAGGAATGAGAGGTACCCAAGTGCTTTGAAGAGAAATGATGGACCTTTCCAGGATGCTGGATAGCATGTATAGCATACAAATTACAGAATTTCTATCAAGAGCACAGAATGCATGAAGTTGAAGTTCACTCAGACACCTGCCTGTACTCTGTCATAACAAAACAGCAATCCTCTCACAGTTGTTAAGAAACCCTAATTTCCTAATGGGGTCACTTAGGAAAACATCCCACAGACAATGGGGCAACTGCCTGCCTTTATCAGGGGCACAGGGAGGTAAGAGGCTGTTGGGCAGCTCTGCAGAGCTGCCTGTGTGCCATCCCCGCCAGAGCACTCAACCTTAATTTAATTCTTCCCGACAGTTTCCAATATACTCCTGATTTTGCCAGGTCTCTCAACAAATGCCACTTTTCTGTGCAGCTCCTCCTGTGCTCACCCCCACGGAACAAGAGGAAATGAGAGGTATCATACTCGTAATTTGTTGCTATTTTGGTGGGGATGAGCACAACCAGGATGTCTGTCCTTTCCTTGCACGTGCTTTGCCAAGGGATGGTCTGGCTGATTTCAACATCTCACGGGGACATGAGGGGAGCCTGTCCTAAAAACAGCTACCACTGATGACAGTGGGCTTGAGCTGGCTTTGAGGGGGAAGAGAAAACAGGACTCATCACTGCATGGCTTCAGTGGGGCACTTCCATAGAAAGACTTCACTTGCTCTTACTCTGAAATATTACAGCACATAAATTTTGTGCTTGTAAATGTGAGGTTTGAGGGAGGCAGCCCTTTAGTTACACCAAACAAAGAGTTCAGCAAGTGTGACAGCATGAGACCAAAAGCAAGTCTGTTCTTAAGCAGGGGAGCCAGGAGAGAAGTCTGTTCAGCTCCAGGCTGCCATGCCAAGGTCCTCCAACCCACGGTCCAACCGCGGCACAAGAATAAAGAGAAGGGACTTTCTCTACCAAAGCCATGATGGAAAACATACGGACATGGCATTTACTGGAGGAAAACACAGTACTGGTGGGGAAAATCTGACTATCACACCACCTCTCCTCCTGAGTAACCCACAGCAGGGCTCGTCCCGGCTGCGCCACTGGGGAATGGGGAAGGGACAGGGATAGCAGGAGAAGTGTGTGAGTTGTGCTCTGTAGATACAGCTACCCCAACCTCTTTTATAATTGCAGTGATTGTCTTACTCTTCTTCTTTGTCTCTGCCCAAGAAAGGAGTACTGCCAGCCCTGCTGGTGCCTCCTGGAGACCCAGGACACACCTCCATCCACAGCCGCAGGTACCGAGGTAACCCTCGAAGGGTGCTATCAGGAGCAATCACTGCATTTTGCACTTAACGCTGTTTACTGTAGTGCCTAACAAATCGAATTACATGCTAATCAGCACACCCTGCCTGTTAGATCTATGCCAGACTTGACTCTTTGCACTGCACTCCTTCCTAGGTATAGAAATAGTTCACTGAGCATCACAGTGCCATGAACCTCCAGACTAATCCAAATTTCACCCCCGACCTTCAATGACAGATCAGGTGCCCACACAGAGAGGAAATTCCCTGTGTCTGACACTGCCCCTGTAAGGTGTGTGTGATGTGGACCAGCAAAACACATCCACTCTGTCAGCTATGGCACTACTGCTGTGCTGCCTCCCAGTCACAAATGAAGGTGTTTTTCCAGCAAGAAGTATCCTACAGTCCTACCCTGGAGCATGAGGGTGGCAGTACTGTTCTGGGGGCCAGGGGAGCCCATTCATGCTCTCCCACAATGGTCTGTGCTCAGGGCAGGATTTCCAGCAATAGCTTTCCCCAAAAAAGTTACAGCCTTGCCAGCTCATCTCTCTGAGCTCACACAGAGGTGACAGGTTGCTCTGTTGGTTCAATCTTAAATGTTCAACCCCATCCCATGGGTTGTCCCTCTCCTGTACTTGAGACCAGGGGACACTCAGGGACTGATGAACTGAAAAGCTGAAAGTCCAGATATATGTTACTACCCCCAAAGAATATATTTTTGCACTTACAGCAAGTAAAATCAAAAGCAGCTGAAATAGAAGAAAAAAAAAGGTGACTTGAATCCTAAGATTAATAGTGTTCTGTATCTTTTATCACATCCCAAGTAAGAGTAGTCCACTCAACTCACCAAATAAGAAAGAAGTCTGCTCAACTCTGACTTTCCATTCCCAATGAAAATGTCAGAGCCACTTTTATCTTCCCCTACAACCAGATATTCTTTTAAAGATGGAAAGACCTACTCTGTATTGTCATCTTGAAAACTACTAAGGAGCCCCAAGTTCACCCCCTAAACACTGACAACAGCCCTTTGCCATCCCAGGTGTCCCCAGAAAACAGTGAGCAAAGGTCTGTGAAATTCTGCCCTGTACAAAAAACTCAATAACCTTACAAAGTTAGTATCCAGAATAACAAAGTGAGATGGGTGTTTTTACTTAAAAATGGACCTTTTAATGACTGTGTACCATAGCTGCATGAGACGTATGTTTTTTTTATGGTATTTCAGCAGCCAGATACTGTGTCCCACTAACTCAAGGAAATCATGACCCTGAGCCACCTTGGGAAGCCTGCAAGGGTTTCTCCCACACACCTCGAGCACACGGCCGGGCTGTAAATATTCCCTCGGGAGGTGCTCTGTGCTCAGTCTGCCTCAGCCCAGCAACATGTTTGCTTTTAAACAACCCGCAATTAGTTCAGTTTCAATCAGGAAGCACACCCTGCATTAGGCTTGTGAGCCTGTATTTTCCGCAGGGATTCCCTGTGGTTCCTCAGCTGGGCAAGCAGCAGCAGAGTCCTTTTCCCTCGGGGATGGGCACACTATTAGCATCTAAAAAACTGCCTTCGTGCACACCGGGTATCACGTGCAAGCCCAAAGTGGGGGACAGTTCTGGGCTCAAAGCCCCCCCCCAGTGCCCTGTGAAAAGGCAGGTTTTCCCCCAAGGCAGCCACACAGCCAAAAAAAAAAAAACTGATTGCAGCCAGGAGCATTAATAAAATGCTTCATTTTTGAGAAAACTGACAGAAATGCAGATTGCAAAATGGGAGATGGGTGCAGGTCGCCTTCCTTTGATAATTTTTACTTACTAATAATAGTTTTCTGTAGCACAAGGACCTCAATTATTCCCCTCCAGAGCCACCCAAACGCAGTAATTCATCATTAGCTTTGCTGGCTTCTGTTCCCGCGCTCTGATTAATTGTAACCTTTCCCGATATTTGATCGTAAATGAAAGAGTATGAATTGAGAAGCACAAATTAAATTAATGTGTCAAGGCAGCTTGCATAGCCAGTGCTCCAGACAAATGGGAGCTGGGCTGAAACTCAATCTCGAGGAGAAAGCAAATGTCTGGTGTGGACTGACAGCAGCATAAATTGCTGAGAAATTCTCCGTGAGCGAGAGGTAAAAAGGATGTTGGTTCTCCTTGAGCTCACACTGGTGCCAGTTCTCACTGCTGAGACAAGTGCAAGAGACCAACACATATCTATTTAACTATATAGCTATTAAAAATGAGAGGTTTTGTTGGGTTTTTGTTTGTTTGTTTGTTTGTTTTTAAATAAGGAATAGCAACAGCAGTAGTTTTGTATTTCCTTTTTGTTTGCTTTAAGGATGGTTCTGAGCATCCTGGAGGGGACCCTCTGTTTTTGGCTGCAATCAGAGTATGAGTTTCCTCTGCAAAAAAAAAGGAGTGGGCCTTCATTGCAGGCTTGCATTTTTTAAAACTTACCTCTATTTTTCTATTTTTAACTGAAAATACAGAGAAAATTACCCTATTTTTCAGGAGATTAAACAAGAAGAAGTAGCTGGAAAAGCAGAGTGAACTGAGTAAGAAGCAAATAGAGTTCATGGAAAAGCTCTTAAAAACCCCACTGGTTTCAGGTCAGGTCTGAGACACTACTATGTCAGAGGAGAAAACCTGTTTGACTTTCCAGATAAGATATTCCTAAATACTTTCCTACCTCCCAGAGTGTCATTCTGAATGTACAGGACGGAAACAAATACGGGGCACCCGGGAATCGGGGGGCAGCTGCCTGCAGAGCACCTCAAATCAAAGGCAGGTGAGTCCTGGGGTCATATCTTATAGTTAATCATTCATTTCCTGGTCTTATCCAGAGGGGTATCTCATTACTTCTGTGGATACAAGGTAGTTTCAGACCTTGTGAAAGGGTATGGTTTGTTTTGTCATGTGAATGGACACGCAGGTAAATACCAGGTTGGTTCACCAGCCAAAGGGGAGACCCCATTTCCCACGATCTCTGCTTAACCCTCTGCTCTCCTCAGTTATGATCTGAGCATTTCAATTTGGGAACAACAGAATAAACCCTTGGAAAGTGTTCTGATATACCCTACTAATGAATCAAGATGATGACTTTAAACATTGTCTCTCTGGCAGTAACAGAAAGGATCTACAAACTGTGAACGAAGCCAGTCCAAATTTTGAGTCTTCTACCATCCTGCTAAACTCTTCCACACATAAATAATGTACTGATAGAAATTAGTCACCTGTGACCACATAGTTTTCCAGACTATCTTTTTCAGCTCAAAGTAAGTATAGAAATACCATTTTCAATGCATGCCCATGTGAGCTTTAGAACAAAAAAGCTTGACAGTCAATAGGATTCAACTTATTACCATGGATTTTCAAGATGTCTTATATTTTTTTTTTTGAGATGGGACAGACTTGCAAGTGTTTTAAATTAAAATACATGCTTTAATCATGGAAAGATACATAGTGATGGACTAGACCAACAAAATGCCATCTTTCCCAAAGCCCCTCATTTACCCTGCAGCGTTCTGCTCATTTCAACCTCGGGTCAAACCAGCCAATTTTTCAGAGTTTCTATGTCACTGCACAATATAATAAAAATGCATTTAAACAATTACAAAGCGTCCAGGACTTGTCATTGTCCACGTTCCTTTTCAATCCCACAATACCTTGTTTACGGTGGAAAATGCCTTCATTTGCCACAGCACAGCAGTGTGTCTCTCGATAGCTGCCCCATGAGACACATCTAATAGAAATGCACAACGGAACAAAAGACAGGAAAAAATAATAACAAAAGGCAATGTATGCTTCGAGAAAAATAGTAAAAGCTGGTACAGAGTGGCCAAACTAGGATTGATGTACTCCAGGGAACAATACTCATTCTTCTCATTGAAAGCTACTCTTGTACCAGGACTCATTTCCACACGCTGACTGACATGTGCTTTCCTAATTTGGAAGTCTTGTGATTCCCAGTGGATTTTAATGCTCAGTAATTTTCAGACGAGTAGCTTAAATGCATATATTGTAGTCAGTCACTCTCTATTATCTCATACACATGCACACATATATAGAAACGTGTAGACAGAGGTTCTTGCAGGGAATTAGTCTGCAACAGCTCTGGGTAGATTAAAGAGAAACACCCCCCCCCCTTCCGAGCCCCCTAAACCCCTGGAGGTAACTCAAATAATTTCTATCCCTAGCAATTGAAAAGATTCCAGGTTTGCCAAAGCAAACAGTCCCTTGGGTGCTCAGCTTGAGATAATTAATGGTATTAACTTTGTAGGCAATGCTGGACACCCACAGGGAGGGGGGATTAAATAAGGGACCCATTAAATGAGTCACCCCAAGTCTCAAGTTACTTCTGAAACTTCAAGCAGCTGTAATTCATTTTTTTCTGAGTTGATATTATTAGTAGTATTTTAAAATACTATCCTGTATTGTAAAGGATGTGGGTACTCTATTTCTATGTTTTGAGTTAGAAAAAAATAATAAAAGGAAATATTATAAAGAATTAAAGTGATGACATATCCGTAGAGAAGACAAGGTGAGCAGGGGGATCAGACAAACCGGAAGGAAACATCAAAACCAGAGCTGTGAAACAATATTACATAATTCTGAACATTACTAAATATGGACATTCCCAGAGGTTGGGAGGTCTGTAGGATAAGAACTGCAAGGATATGAAATCCTGTATCTGTCAAGAGAAAAGACTGAGTTTGAGAAACACTTGGAAAATTGTTATCAATCATGTACCTTCTTTGCATTTTGGGCCACATCCTCAGTGGGGTCTGCTGGAAAAGCCTCCCCAAAAGAGATGGATTGGTACCAACTTGTATCACAGCGAAGGGGAAATTAAAATGTCTTGGTTTTGAATGTAAAGCTTTAGTTCCAACCCTCTGAAGCTGAGTTTCCTCTGCAGCACTTGATGGCAGCTGCAAAGCCAGCATTACTAACATAGCAGTGGCCAAGCCATGGTAGGCTGCAGTAGGGCTTTTTCCAGATTTCCCGGTCATAGCTAATAACAGGATCACACAGTTTGTCACAAGTGCCCTGTATTTACTATGAATGTGTCCTGGTAATTTGTAAAATTCACCTTTTACTTAAAAAAAAAAAAAAGATACAAGATGTGTCCTAGGTCTCAACACCAACCCATCTTGTGCTGGTTGCACCCACGAACAAACCAAATCTACATCAGGGAGGGGCTCCAGGGGCTGCCTGCCCCAGCACAGGTCACTTTACAGCCCCCAGAGAGTGTCACAGAGCAGGGGGTGACAAGCACGAAAGGGACTGGAGGGGGACACACCCCTGTGACAGCACCATGTGCCACTGACACCCATCACTGAGACGTGGGGCTCTAGAGCTGACCTCCTGCTGTAAATCCTCCCTGGGATGTTCACATTCACTACACTGAGAATCACTGCATTTCTTATTTTACTTCTAAACCTGTACAGGCTGTGCTGGCTCTCAGGGTATCACTCTATTACTATAACACTGGTAATAAAGGTTGCTTTCCAGTGAAGGATCATCAGCAACAAATGCTTCCTAATGCATTATTAATGGTAAGCCTCTGATAAGAATACTCTTTGGGATGAAACACATCTGACCTGTAAAGTGTTTACCAAGAAATGACACAAAATCAGATTATTTGGTATGTCAAAAGACCTTTAAAATGCAAACAAACATATCCAGAGATTATATGGATCCACAGCAAGTGCCTGGAAGATGAAAATCATGCCTGTTGTTATCACTGTGGGTTTCCTACCTTCTTACTATCCGCTTTTACACTGCATTGCTGTAATAATAACTGAAGGAAAAAATATTTCCACAGTCTACAATAAATCACAAATGTGTAGATTCTACTTGAAATGTTTATTCCATACATATTTTCTTGTCTTTTTTTTTTCCCCACTCTGCACTGTGCTGAAAAACAGGTTTGAAAGTCAATTCTTATCCTATTACCTATTGAGTTGCTGTCATGCAATGCTCTGTCTCCACATTAAAAATGAGAACTGATCCCTTGAAGGGTTTCTAGAGCTTACTGTTTATTACCTCCCTCAGAAAGTTTACCATAAGCTCTTTACACAGAACATGGAATGTTTATAAAGAGATGCCTGCTCAGTCCTCCTCCCTTGGGATCATCCTCAACAGTCAATAATTGCCACTGAGGAATTCCTCAACACTGATTTTTTTTGGAGCTAAGTGACCCTGCCGTGCAGACTTTGTATTTTCCATCTCCAGACACCAGTTTGGAAAGGATGGGTCTCACCTGTCCTCCAACTGGGAGATAAAGGTTGGAAGAAGAAATGGAGACCCCTTATGCCTTGTCTCTGATGTGAAAGCTTTTGGACCAGCCACAGAAAAGCAAACAAAATCCACAGTATGATGCAAACTGAATGAAAGAACTCCCACATCTCTGTCTCTGGGCAATCTGTGCAAATCCAGAAAGATGAATGCAACTGTGAGGTCTTTATTGTTTCCCCCCTTTTAAATGTCAGAAACAGAAATTTTTTTTGCCTGCAGGAAGGTTTTGAGCAACTGCAGAGGTTACTGCATCTCAGATGGCCCCCACTGCCACCTTCCAAGAGATGCTGCTGCTACAGGAAGTGGTTCCCATTCCTTCCTTCCAGAGGAACGAAGCACACACGTGAATCACTGCATTTTGCTGGGCCCATCCATACGCTGGTTATGGGAAGGGCCTCTCCAGGCCCTCACCAAGAGGAGGGGTTTCATCTGAAATGCTCCAAAAGGACACTTGCAGCCTCTCAAAAAAAACAGAGAAAGGAGGTTGCCAGGTGACTCAGTGACCAGCTAAAATGACTCCCAAAAGCCTTGCTCTGGAAGCACCATGCCAAGCTGCCCTCTGACTGTGTGCATGAGCTAATTCAGCTGCCAAACTTTCAGGCAATTGTGTCAAAATGCCACTTCTCTCCCAGAAGAAGCTCCTCTCGTGCTGGAACCACACGACATCACTCCTCCTCAGCCTGCACCAACCGGCTTCACAGCAGCTCTCAAGGAGGTTGTTTTGTTGAGAAACTGCCATTGTAACAAGGAGTCTGTGAGAGAAAACAAGGTCTTCTCCAAGTATTTTGTAATAAATCTTATTTACCACTGAGGGGAAAATGCTGAGGCTGTATAGAGGTGAAGATCTTGGCCATCATCTCTCAGGAATCAACAGCTCATGGATCCCCATGGCTCCCACCCTGCTCAGTGAAATGGTGCCAGCGGCCCATCAGGCCCTGACCCCTCTGTTTATATTTATATACATTTATGTTTAAATTTAGCATATTTACATCTGAGATTGCAGGTCCTTCTTAACGTCTCAGCATCAAAAATATACCACCAATTAGGAAATAATAATCATTTTAAAAAAAGAGCATCTCTGCCTGCTGACTCTGGCTGCATTCACCACTGTTTCCAGAGGCAGGCAGATTCATTAATTCATTCATTCCCCACTTCGTTATGGAATGACTCCAACAAAGCTGCTGATACAACTGGGAAATCAAAAGATGAGCCAGGAAAGCGACTGCAAAAAAAAGCATTAAGGAAACGTGTGGTTATGTCGAGTGGCAGGGCCAGAGTCAGCAATTCATGAAAAAAGGGACTGCAGAGTCACTGGCTGAGAGGAGAATTAAATGTGCAGAAGGAGCTCAGATCCTAATGGAAGTACTTCCTTACAAAAAAAATTAATAAAAATTATAGTTTCTGTTCAAATGAAATATGTTGTCCTGCAAAATCTTTCATTTAATTGTCATTGTTTTCCTTTTGTACTTAAACACAGAATCATATATAACCTGTAAGATATTTAAGATATAGTTAACTCCTTAGGCTTCCCCTCAAATTTTGGACATATGATTCAATAAATACCCTGATGCTTTTTGTTTCAGCCACTCTGAAAAACATCTGTGCTCTAGGTGGGCATCAGAGATGACTTACTGATTGCTTCATGGGGCAGTAGAAAGGTTTTACAAAGATGATTTTAGGACAGCCACGATACTCAAACTATTTGATACGTCACAAATTAATGACCAGAACATGTTTTTACACTTCACCCCTGTAAGCCTCTGCACTCCAAGCATCAGGCTTTGGTTGTACCCTGTGCACCCACCCCAGTGGGTGTAACTGTGCCCAGCCTTGAGCTCAGCCACACTGACAACCATGGCTTTCTAAATTATTCCCAGCTTCTTCAGGATCAAGGCAGGAAGATGTCCTGAACGGCTTTTAAAATGATTATGCAAGTCATAGTGGGCTGTATAATACCTTTTCCAAAAAACCTTCCCTCTTAGCACTCTGACAGCAATCAGCCGTGTCATTATGACTCTTCTTTCTCCTTATAACATATATTCTGAATGTTTTAAATGGAAATAACATCATCTTGTCCCCCCCGTGTTTCGTACTCGTGGCGTGTCCTTGCAAGCAACCAAAGCTCAGGATGCCAAAAGCTGAAGGCTCAGCTCGCCCACGTAAGAGATGGGATATGAATAAATCAGTGCAAAGTCCATGTGAGCTCCTTCTCTCTCGCTAGCAGGGGCTCAGGCTGGAAAAGCTGGATCTGCAGTGGAGCTGCCATGCAGCCTTTAACTACCCGTGGTGCCATTTGAAATCCTCAGTTCACTCAGTATATGGATTCGGTTTTTAAAATACCAAATCTGCAGCTGGGTATTTACAGAGAAATGGGGGGGAAAAAAAGTGTATTTACTAGGGTGGCATGACCATTTCTTTTACAGAGTTTGACTTGCTGGGAGGGAGT